TTCATTCCGGCTTATAAGATTGTTATCTATTGGCGCTCTTATTTTCTTTCTTCTTTTTATTTTATTTTTTTATATACTTTTCTTTTCACTCGCCTTATCTTGATCCCTCATTTTATAGCTATTTGAAAAGTATTTGATCGAACCTTTTGTGGGTTGCCTACGTATCATGTCGCCGCATGAATCAGATCATTACGTGGTTCAGGTACATGACCATTTTTTCTTTTTTTTCTTATTTTATAAAACAAACATCTTTTTTGGTTCATTTTCGAATTTTTATAAACAAAATCTTTTTCATTGATTTTCAATATATATAATAATTATATTTTTATATTTTATATTTTTTTTGTTTTTGATACAAGACTCAAACAGTAAACAAGACCAGACTTGACTCAAACAGACTTTTTAGGATAAAAGGCAAAACAACAAGACTCAAAACACCAAAAGACTCTTACAGACTCAAAAACAACAAAAGAAGAATGACAAAGGACTGATAACTAAAAGAAGACTTTGATCTCTGCAGTAGAATCCACCAGCATCACTGTAATCAAGGCGCTTGTTCCTGCGGCTGACCCCCAACATTGCGGTATATCCTCTCCAAGTCTGCAGATATATGACGAGCAACGTTCAATGATACTTCTGCAAACCGCTCAGGCGTCATTCCCTGACAACTCCTGCATGCTCTTGAGGTATATGTGGCTACCTCGAGGATCTTTCCCTTAATGTATTCCTGAGCCACATGCAACTCTTGATTTTGCTGACCACGGGTCTCAGCTAGATCCAGCGCATCACGCTCGCGGTCCAAGGCCATATCTTTTTGGCGCCGAACATCTAGCGACTCCGCTTCTAACTGATTGATCACCTTTTGGTAATGGTGTCTTTCTATTTCAAACTCCGCGATCTGGCTCTCCTTGCTTGACTCAACTCCCCCTATCTGATCCCTCAGACCTTGGATTAATGGAGCAAAACCTCTACGCTCATGATCACGGACTACCCTGAACTGGGCTTCTCTCTCTTCTTATTGTTGAGTGGTTGTGACTATGTTCTTCTTTCGAATTTGGGCTTCGAGTGCTTGCTTTTCTCGTGCCCACTGAGCCTTTTCCTGCTCAAAATCAGCCTGTTGTATGTCCATAGCTGTCTCCAGAATGCCCTTATCTTCTTGTAAAATGTCAACACGAGATTGGAACTCTTGTGCGACTTCCCTTCTGGTTTCTCTAACTCTGGCCTCGATCTCCTCCTCCCAATCAACTACATGCCGTATGGATCTTTCTGGCCTTTGCTCGGGGATAGCCCGGTTGTGAAACCACTCAAGGTAGCGAGGGTTACCTCCCCACATTCACGATCAGCTACCATCTCGTCCAAATCAAAAAATCGACCACCAAACCAAACCTTTTGTGCATAAGACTCCCTTGGAGGTTCCTCTCCCTTGAATTCCCACACGAACGGACGCATGTCCTCAATCGGGGGCCTCTCTTGCTCTCTCCCTAGGTGGCGCATGACGCGTAGGGGCGCGTAGGGTTGGAAACCTATGAAACCAATGAGTATGAAGAACGGGCAATACGTCGACATATGCATGACCCTAGTAGAAGGGAACCAATAATAGTTCCAGGTGATTCTATCAGCACTCAATGAACCAATTAATTTCCGCCAGGTCCTCACCCCCTCTGGAAGATTACAACTTGCGGCCCTGTCTGGGTGACATCCAATGTAAGTCAGCCAGTTTTCATTGAAATTTATTACTATTAGATGATGATAGAGGTGCTCTATGAACCACATCTGCAGCAGAATGCTGCATCCCTCGAAGTAATCTTCACCTTCTTGGCAGTGGGTCAAAGCTTGAAAAATATCTCCCAAAATCATGGGAAGAATGGTATGATCCTCGCTACTTTGCAAATACGAGACTACCGCAACCAATCGAATTCTGATGCGCCCACCACGCTCTGGAAAGACCATGATCCCTAGAAATGAGATCATGAACGCGAAGATTCTCAACTCCCTCCAAGCGTCGTAACTCAACTGGTTGACGAATTCTATGCCCGAGAATTTTTCAAACCCTTTCTCGTCCCCAAACCTGTCATAGAGATATTCCAACGGAACCCAACCTTCGTTTAAGCAAACCATTGGAATTCGACGGAGGCATAACTTCTTTAAAAAGTTGTTCACACCAACTTTTCTCGGAGCAGCAGGCTTTTTCCCACGAAGGTCTCTCCCCAATCTGGTGAACCTACCTAATTCTTCCAATGTGGGCGTCATTTCACAGTCTTTGAACCTGAAGACATTGTTCGCGGGGTCCCAAAAACCCACTAGAGCCTTGATTAAATCTCTGTTAGGCTTAATTCCCATGATGTTTGTGAGGAACTTGAGGTGCTTAAATACTCGATTTCGTTCCCATGTAGCAAAACTAGCCCACCAATTACAGAGACTACCCGGGGTCTTATCTCTGATCAAGAACATAGGAGGTGTTTCGTCCCTTACCCTTTTCTGACTGCTTCTTTGTGGAGAACTCATGGTGATCCTAAGAATAAAAAAGGGTTAGGACTTACCTAAACTATATGCAAATTATGATCATTCATTATTTTATTTTATTTTTTGGCCAATTTAGGACTCGTTCTATTTTTTTTTACAATATATATTTTGAAATTACCGGAAACAGAAGTTAAGATGATAAAAGCGGAAAAAATAATTTTTATTACAAAGACGGCCCTTTGATACTTCCATAGAAGGCATAAAGAATGTCTCGGCAAAAACAGCCAAACACAGGAACAAAATGATAAAATAGATAAAATAATAAATAAAAAACTATTTTTACGAAAATGACCCTTTGCTACTCCGAAAGGGGTTCAAAAGCTGTCTCAGCAAATATAACCAGACAAAACTAGATAAAAATGGCTACTTTTGCGAGAACAGCCTTTCGGTACTTCCGGAAAGGTTTAAAGCTGCTTCGACAAAAATGGCCAGACATAAGGGCAAAATGGTAAAAGGTGAATAAATATGGATAAAGTAACTATTTTTTTTACAAAAAATGGCCCTTCAGCACTTCCCAGGAAGATTTTAAGGCTGTCTTGGCAAAACAGCCGAAGCATGAGGGCAAGACAATAAAAGGTGACCAAAATAGGCTCTTTTTTTTCTGAAAATTTTATGCACATGCGGAATTTTATGCTCCCCTTTTTTTAAAAAATGTGGGCTGAACCCGATGAGGTTGCCTACGTGTCTCACATCCGGTGAGAATCAAACCCGCGTAGTTCAGTAAAACTGGTTTCTTTTTTTTTTTTTATAAATGAAAATTAATCTTTTACAACTCACACCAGACTACTACAATATATATATATATATATATATATATAAATAATTCTTTTTAAAAAAAAAAGTTTATTTGCACTAAACTAGGAGAATTATTCTTTTTTTCTTTTTTTTTTATTTTTAACAATTCCACTACACTAATTTTCTAAAGCCGGTCGACAATGCAAGTAAGCCTTCCAAATGATGTATCAAGTAGTACATACGTGAACATGATGGTCTCAAATAGGATACCTGTCTTATACGGACCCGGCCACGGTGCCGAGTTTCGCTAAGTCAAATGCACGTGATGCACATAGAGCGAACCTACTAGGGAAATCCGGCATGAGGTTTGTTCATCTAGGTTTAAATCTTGGTGGAAAATGTATCTAGACTGGCTTACTCGAGCGGACAACTCGAGCCGAGGAGGGTCTGTGTACCGGTAGCATTGCTTCCTGGCTTAACTGGTGGTGCTCCCCGCCTAAAACAATTGTGACTAAAATCCTTCATCGGGTGACAAGCAGCTTGGCTATCTCAAAGAAAGTGGGCTATGTCAAGAAAATGCCCAATTTTAATTTCAAGAAGACTCAGAGCGGGTGTGTGAGAAGACAGCTTATATGTACAGTTCAAAAATATCAAAGCGGTAAAAAGCAAACAAGTAGCACATTATGCCCAAATAAATCACAGTATATACAAAATTAATAAAGCCAAATAAAAGTCAACATGTACAAGCTCGAATTCTGGTTTTCCCCAGCAGAGTCGCCAGAGCTGTCACACCCCTTTTCCTACCCCCCGAGAAAAGGATAGGTGTGTGGGTTTGTGGGTTAAAGAGTTTTTCCAATTAAAGTGACAAATTTGAGTAGGGATTATTTTATTTACAGAGTCGCCACTTGGAATTGGTTTAAGGTGTTCCAAGTCACCTTTTATTTGAATCCCTAGTCAAAGGAAGGTTTGACTCTATTTTTATCAGTCCGCGAAAATAAAATTCGGGTAAGGAATTTTGTTGACCTTGGAGAAGGTATAAGGCATTCCCCGGGTCCTGTGGTTCTAGCACGGTCGCTTTATTGACTTAAAACTTGGCTTGAACTAATTTTGGACAAACTTTGATTTATATGATTTTCATGTTTTACCTCTCCGCTTTTATCTCTTGATATTAGAAAAATTAAAGAATATTTTGAATAATAAGGTGTCATAACCACACTACGCAAGTGAATGCGTGATCGACGAAATTTTATTATTTAGTTATAACAGCGCTACGCAAGCGAATCCGCAGTCATGACAACGATTGTTAGCACCTTATTTACTTTTGAAAAATTGCTACAATTGTGCTTTGAGGAAAAAATAACCTTTTTTTTTGGAAAATTTATTAAATGTCACTACCACGCTACGCAAGCGAATCCGCGATTATGACAAAAAGATTTTATAAATTAATNCATCGTGGTGCGAGTGACATAGACGATGTTAAACTCTGTGAGCAGGATTTGACATTTTGCGAGCCTGCCAGTGGGCATTGGCTTTTGGAAGACGTACTTCAAAGGATCCATTCTGGATATGAGGTAAGTAGTGTAGGCCAAAAGATAATGTCTCAGCTTCTGAGCGAACCAAGTCAAGGCACAACATGTCCTTTCGAAAATAGTATACTTAACCTCATAATTGGTGAACTTCTTGCTCAAATAATAGATTGCCTGTTCCTTTTTGCATGTTGCATCATGTTGCCCCAAAGCGCATCAAAAGGAATTATCCATCACCGATAGATATAAAAATAAAGGCCTACCAGGTTCAGGCGGAACCAGTACAGGGGGTTTTGACAGATAATCTTTCATCCTGTCAAAAGCTTTTTGGCAATTGTCTGTCCACCTGATAGCGGTATCCTTTTTCAGCAACTTAAAGATGGGCTCGCACGTGGTTGTGAGCTGTGCAATGAACCTATTGATGTAGTTCAATCTCTCGAGCAAACTCATGACTTCCTTTTTGTTCTTTGGGGGTGGCAGATCTCGAATGGACTTTATCTTAGATGGATCCAATTCGATGACTCTCCGGCTGACTATAAAACCGAGGAGTTTCCCAGATGGAACCCCAAATGCACACTTGGCTGGATTAAGCTTATGGTCATACCTTTGAAGCCGTTCGAAGAAATTTTTCAAATCACACACGTGATCAACTTGTGTCTTTGATTTTATGATGATATCATCGACATATACTTCAATCTCTTTGTGCATCATGTCGTGAAAAATGGTGGTCATGGCCGTCATGTAAGTTGCCCCTGCATTTTTTAAACCGAATAGCATGACCCTGTAACAATAAGTACCCCATGGCGTGGTGAAAGCGGTCTTTTCGACATCATCCTCATCCATTAGAATTTGGTGGTACCCAGCATAGCAATCCACGAACGATTGTATCTCATATTTTGCGCGATTATCTACAAGAATGTGGATGTTTGGCAAAGGAAAATTATCCTTTGGACTTGCTTTGTTCAGGTCCCTATAGTCGACACAAACTCTAGTTTTTCCATCCTTCTCTGGCATAGACACAACATTTGCCACCCAGGTGGTGTATCGGACAGCTCTGACCACATTGGCGCTTAGTTGCTTCATTATTTCCTCTTTGATTTTGTCGCTCATGTCTGTTTTAAATATCCGTTGCTTTTGTTGGACTGCTGGAAAACCAGGATACGTAGGAAGCTTATGAACCACCAGATCAGCATTTAAACCCGGCATATCATCGTAAGACCAAGCAAACACATCTCTGTATTTAAATAAAAGTTGAATCAAGGCATCGCTGGTTTTTTGTTCAGTGTGAATGCTTATCTTCGTTTCTCTAACTTCTTCAGGACTTCCGATATTAATTGGCTCAGTTTCATTGAGGTTTGGTTTAGGCTTGTTTTCAAATTGTTCCAACTCTCTTTTTATTTCCTCAACAACCTCATCTTCATCACATTCAACCTCTTGATGCATTATTTCGATATTAGACAGCTTTTTAAGATCTGGGCGTGAATTACGCACGCATGTCATGTTATTAAAGCCGGCATTAACAAAACTGAAATGGAAATAAAATGACAGGACTTAGGAAAAGGAAAAGATAGAAAACTTAATAGGAAACTGAAATGCATTTCATTGAATTCGAAAGGATAGAAGGGTTAACATCAAAACAAAACAATCATACTGAGATGCTTGGATTACAACCCTGAAAGTAACCCAAAATACAAAAAAGAAGCTGGAAAAGCAAACTACCAAGACTCCTTCCTTGTGGGGAGAGGAGTTGCTTCCCAGTTGGTGAGCATGGTGTCTGGGTCAATTGGTTGCATATCGGCACGACTAGTGCCTTCACCAGCCTGGATCATATTCACTTCAGAAAATATCTGGCTGAGGCCATGGCAAATTTCATCAATGTTTGCATGCGCTAAGAAATTTTGACCCTCTCGGAGTCGTGGCTTGACAAAAGTGTAGAAAATGTGAGGGATAGGTTGTTGCAAGACCCATCCATGCTTTTTGCGGTGTTTGGATTTGTTTTCATCTGCTTGTGTTAGCCGGAAGCCTAATCCAAAAGTACCCTGGTTACCGAACGGAGAAATAGGCTCCGAAATTCCTTGCAATGATGCCCCCAAGCCTTTTCCTGGCTTATAACCTTGTCTCATCATAACTGCAGCCACCATTACAGATGTGGCGGAAAGACGAGGATGCAGAATAGGCTTTCCTTCCTCGACATGGTCCACAGCAACCACTTCAAACGCCTGATAGACAATGGACTCAGACCCTTCCTTGGCCTCAATACAGGGGATTAACGGGTCTTTATAAATGGAAGACTCGTCTTCTCCGTGAACAATAATTTCTTGCCTTTCATGTTCAAATTTGAGCATCTGATGCAAGGTGGATGGCACAGCTCGGGCCGTATGGATCCATGGCCTTCCAAGAAGAAAGTTATAAGAAGTGGCCATGTCCACTACCTGGAAGACAATCTCAAAGTCAACTGGCCCAATCGTCATGGTGAGGTTGATCTCCCCAATGGTATCTCTTGCTGAGCCATCAAAAGCCCAGATGCGAACATTGCTGGGTCGGATTCTGTCTGTATCGATCTTCATGCTTTGCAAGGTAGAGAGAGGGCATACATCTACACTTGAGCCTCCATCAACCATGAGTCGCTTCACATAATGACCCTCACATTTGACCATCAAGTTCAAAGCCCTATTGTGCCCGGCTCCCTCCTCGGGAAGTTCATCATTAGTAAAGGAGATTTTGTTCACCTCAAAAAATCTGTTGGCCATCTTCTCTAACTGATTCACTGTGGTTTCCTCTGAGATATGTGCCTCGTTCAGGACCTTGATTAGTACACGGGCATGCTCTTTGGAATGTAGGAGAAGAGATAGTAGAGAGATTTGAGCGGGAGTCTTTCTTAGTTGATCAATGATTGAGTAATCCTGAACTTTCATCTTTTTCAAAAACTCTTCCGCATCTGCTTCAGTGACTGGCTTCTTTATTGGCAAATGGCCTTCTCTAATTTGCTTGGCCTTCCTCAACTCTTCTGGAGAGTAACATCTCCCTGATCGAGTAAAACCTCCAGTTTCCCCCACTTCCTCTATGATTTCCTTGCCTTTGTAGGTCATCACCGTTTTGTTGTAGTTCCAAGGAGTGGTTTTTGTGTTGGCTACAGGGAGTTGCATGGCAGGTTTGATTACGATCGGCTCTGTTATACCTTTCGTACCTCCCTGCTTCTCCCTTTTGTCTGGATGGCCTCCAAGTACATATAACCTTGGGCTTGGAACACTAGAGTGAACTTCCAACCTCGAGATCTTTGGAACAAATAAAGTTGCCTTATTTGAGTTCTGGGCGCCTTTAACAATCAATGGCACGTCTCGGCTGGGACTTACTTCTAGACCTGCTCCTTCTTGAATTGCACCCACTGTCATTTCTGCTCGACCGACCGGCTTGTATTCTTGGTCTCGGCCAATCATTCCAACAAAATGAACATCATTGTGTGCTGGCAACGGATTATTTGTCACGTTAGGAGGGTCCTCGCCATTCGTCACTACAATCAGTTTTTCGGAAATGAGTCTCTCTATGGCTCTTTTCAGAGTCCAACAGTCATCAGTGCTATGCCCTGGGGCACCGGAATGATATTCACATCTAGCATTTGCTTGAAATCCATGCGAATCGGGATGCATATGGTGGGGGGCGATGCGTCCAATTACGCCCATTTGCTTCAGCTTCTGGAATAGACTAGAATATGATTCAGCCAATGGAGTGAATTTTTCTACCGGCCTCTACTCTCGACCATAATCCTGCCTGGGACGAGCATTGTAAGGTGCCCGAAAATTTTGCTGCTGAGGTCGGGGGGCCCTCGGAGCTGGTGCCCGTACCTGCTGATTGGGAGGCCGAGCATATGATTGAGCATTGAACACTGTATATTATGGTGGGCCCACAGAGTATTGAGGAATCGGCGGGGGATAATAATGTTGAGGGTAGCTGGATTGCCCCTGCTGAAATTGCAATGAATTCTTGTGATTTATGTGCCTTGAATGTTGTTGGTTAAGTCTTATGATATGATGGTGCAAGTAAATGGAAACAACCAAATGTGGGTGTGTGATTGTGAAAGTGTTATGTGGTAAGAACTGAGAACAAATGATGGAAAGAAATCGTAAATGATGCACTTGGAACAATTGTGGTAATAACATATTTGGCTTGTTGTGGGTAATTATTGTGGTGACTTAAATTGCTATATGAGTTGNGGGGCTGAATTTGTGTGCTAAAGGCTGTCCAAAAGGTGAAAGGACAGCCTGAAATCTGCTATAGTAGGAGCCAAGGAGTCCTTTCAGCCACCCTATTAAAAAGCAAGCTACTAGTGCCCTATTTTATGACAAAAATATCTAAACTTCAGATTTTAACAACATCAATATCAGACCACTTACTCAAAAACAAATAACTAGAAACCATTTAACTGATTGAACTATTAACCAACAAGGAGAAAGAGAACTTCAAGATTGAAACCAAGCAAGAAACAAGTATTAACCTATGAAGTACTTAAAACTAATCCGCTTGAACCAAAACGAACATTTAGAAATACTAACCTAAAATCAGAACTTAACGACGTAAAGCAAAGCAAAAATACGTCAACAATGACACAAACTAACATAATCAATTAAGCTAAGCAAACAACAACAACAACAACAAAAAATCAGAAAATAGATTAAGAGCTAAATGAAATGATCACTAAACAGAATTATAACAAAACTACAAACAAATGACGGGAAACAGAAAAATCAAATCATGGAGGAAAGCATTAAGGTTCGAGTTTTACCAAATTTGAGTGTTCGAACAGTGGCGGCGTAGTGACGATTGGGTAGTGGTACGACTTCGAGCAAGCTTCTATTGTTGATATTCTCGAAACCAAAACTCCGACGAATCTGAGTCTGGTTTCAATGATATCAACGACACAACCTTTCTCGAGGCCGGTTTGAGAAGTGAAACGAGAGGCAGTGGTTGAGGGGCGGCAGTGACACGGCCAGCGGCGGCGGCGAGACGTCGGCAGTGGGGGTGGATGCCGGTGGTGGTTGGTTTTTTTGAGGTTTTGAGTTGGAGATATGGAAAGAGGGGGAGAAGAGGAGGCCGGTGGTGTAAAATTTTCGGAGTTTGGGGTGGTGGGCGGCAGCTAGGGTATCAGTTAGGCTTAGATCTACGGAGATTAAGAAGGGTTATGGGATTTTGGGGTTCGGATTCACGGAGAGGAGGTTGAGCGGAAGAAGTGGTGAAATTTTGGGGTGGATTGGAGGTTGGCCGCCGCCGGTGGGCGATTTCCGGCGGCGGCGCTGGGGCAACGTGGGGCAGACCTGGGGAGAGAGAAGAGAGAGTGATGAAAGGGGAAGAAGAAAGGAAATAAGGGGAAAATGGGGGAAAATTTTGGGGGTTTTAGGCTTTATATACCTGGGGTGGGGGATAAATAATAACCATTGGATCATGAGGGAATGGATGGGTGAGATTGAGTCTTTGTTGCTTAAACCAAAATGACGTAGTTTCAAGACAAAACTACGTCGTTTTGAGCTCTTTCTTGGCCAACCAACTAATGGACCGGGTATGGCCGAATTGGGTTCAAATTTTGGGCCAATTTTGGCACAATTTTAATTAAAATATACTAGCCCAATCCCTTTTTCCCTCTAATGAATTAATTAAACTAAAAGTCTAGTTCTAAAATCTCCAAGCACACAAAAATAATTATTTAAAACTACAATGTAGAAGAAAGAAACAAAAATTAGGCATTTACAATTAGGAGTCTATTATGTTAATTGATTCACTTTCCGTTTAAAAACAGCTGAATAGACCATGAATTGCGCTATTTACGTTACTGTATTCACAAATACATATTGTGAATACAGTCGAATACAATAATTATCTAGCTGTAATCCCCTGTTTCACGCCGAGTTTTGCTACTGTATTCATGAATACAGTAGCTTAAATACATCGGATACACTCTAAAAAACTTGAAAATATAGCTATAGGAAGTAATATAGTAAATGATAGCTACAACTAGCTAATAACCACTAAACATTAGTGGTTTGTGAAAATTTCCCTTTTCTCTATTATAAGAGATTCGTGTTGAGGTATGTGAGTTCTGAAGAATAACAAACGAAAGGTATTTGTCCAGTTAATTAATTGTTGACCTTGATTCAACTGAATTAATTAATTGGGTAATATAATTACGGAATGAAACATGTGAAGAACCAGGAATGTTATGTGTTCCATCGTTCTTGTAAGAAGAAAAGTATCAATGTTTATTCTCAATTGGTTCAGGACTTGAGCATGCGCGGTGTGAAGCCACGTGGATTCAAACCACGGACGCTCAAGAATTTTGGAGGCCTAAAGTCAAACTTTATTAGGAGGCCTTAAACTTCAAAAAGAAATTTATATTAATTTTTTTCATGTTTTGTAGTTGACATATGTATATTCGGGTAAATAACTAAAAAAAATTCGTAATGCACTACTATGAAGTAAAAATATAAGAAAACAAGAAATTTCAAATCTAAACAAAAAAATATAGAAAGTTAGTAATAATTATAGAACTTGATTCTAGAAGTTTTTAACTTGACATAAGAATAGGATTCTATTGTTTTACTTTGTTTGTTGTAATGCTTAAGAATATGAGAAATAATGAATTTTTTCTTAATTTAAATATCTTTTATCTCTTGGATTTTTTGGAGAATAGACAACATAGTAATTAAAGAAAGAAAAGAGAATGAAAATACAAGTATTATTATGAGAAAAAAAAGGAATATTAATATTAAAATGTAAATTAACTATTAGTCACCATAGATCACATTGGCAAAATAATCAATTTTTTTCTATGATGATCTTATACCTTTTTTCTTATCATAATTCTTTTTTTAGAGGAAATTGCCACATAATTAATATATTATTAATTTTAAAATGGGGCTCTAAATATTTGGTGACCTAAAGCCATTGATTTATGGGAAATTACCAGCTATGTCCATTTATAAGTAGCTCATTACAAAAGTTGGTCAATTCATAAAATATTACTAATATTAGCCAATTAACTATTTGTAGCAAAATTAGATCAAATTTTTGCTTTTTTTAGTGGGTGTTATTAGAATAGATTGGGTACATCTTAAAGAGTTCGAATCTCAGTTTTGGGATGATTTGGTGAAGTTTTGAGGTGGTTTGAATTGAAAATTCGATACAAAAATCGAACATGGAAAAAAATGATATGCGTATCACACTGTGTATCATTTGTGTATCACATATGTATCATATTTGTATCAATTATGTATCACATGTATATCCATGTATACCTGTGTGTGAGATACATGCGTGATACATGTTTGATACATGTGTCGCAGAAGAACTTTTTTGAACTCGATTTAATTACGAATTTTGATACAAAATCACCTCCAATCTTTCTCAAATTTTGTATATTGAGTTATCTATATGTTTTCAATAAATTTTAACTATACCCATTGAAAAAAGTTCCTTTTTTGCTTAGATTTTTGGAATATTATATTTTTTTTTGTATTTCATCACCTTATTTGCTATCTCATCCATGAAATTTCCTTTCCGTCTTGCATCTAATGTTGCTAATCACGTTTAAAAATATGGAAGGAGATTTTTGCATGTGATTCTTTGAGATAAAGAACCTTATTTATTTAATTTTTTAATTTTTGTATGTGCTTGGCTAGTTTTGGTAAATTTATAACTAATAGCTAGAAGTTGGTAAGTTGAAACTTATATGGGACATTTGTGTAAGTTTCCCTTGCTTTATTTGCTTGGCCCTTGGGCCGGCACTGGTTCGAACGACAAACATGAATTAATTAAAATTTCAAGAACGTTTAGAATTAATCTTGAGGCATACCTGGAGTTACACGAGGTTGGCAAATGTCATTGGAATGCACGTGTACATTAAGGGATTGGTTGTGAAATGCTTCGGAAGCAAAGAACACAAAAAGAATAAAATTTGCATGCACGATCAAGGCTTGTGCACGCATGGTCACAGCGCCAGGGTAAACTCAGAAAAGTCAAGGAGAAAACAGTGAACTAACAGTAACCTCCCAAAGCGGCAGCCATCACACAAGAAAAAGATCTGGAAAAAGGGGAAAGATCCTTCACGTCGCACAACGATCCCGCAGGAGGGAGTTAGGAGATGCGGCGCTGCCTTGTACAACTGAGCTGAGTTCTGGAATTACATGTGCGGTAATGGTGCGACGCACTAGAGGAAATTCTGCAGCTGGGCTTATAAATACCCAATGAGAAGAGAAAAAAATGAGACCAAAATTCGTTTGTTCTTGGGAGCATTTAAGTGGAACGAGCCAGGGTATTGAGGCCTATTCAAGGTGAGTTTCGTTGGGTTGTTTTGAGTTGGTTTCAAGTCACTAATACTAGCAAAATTACACGACACATCAGATATATACATGGTAGCCAAATCATTAACACCTAAATTGTTAGAATATACTATAAACCATGCGTTTTGTTATAGTATTATTTATGAAACAATTATTTATATATTTATTCAATTCAATAAAGTTTTATCTTAAATAGATCTGTATTTATTTGTGTGTCCTTTGCTTATATAACAGATGATTTAGTGTATAGAGTTTAGCTTTGTCACGATCCAAATCTCAACATGTTGTGATAGAACAGTACTAAATCAACTGAAAAAAGGAGAGTCGAGGTCTGCGGATGCCAAAGCAACTAC